GGCAGCCCACAGAATGGGAAAAGATATTCACAAACCCCACATCTGGCAGAAGACTGATCTCCAAAATTACAAAGAACTCAAGCAAGTCTCCAGAACACCCAAGGACCCAATTAAAAAGTGGGGTACAGAATTAGAGAATTCTCAGTAGAGGAGTCTAAAATGACTGAGAGAAACTTGAGAAAGTGCTCAACATCCTTAGCCATTAGGTAACTGAAAATCAAAGCAACTCTGAGATACCATCTCACTCCTGTCAGAATGGCTAAAATCAAAAACACTAATGACAGTTTATGCTGGAGAGGATGTGGAGAAAGGGCAGCACTACTCCACTGCCGGTGGCAATGCCAACTTGTACAGCCACTTTGGAGGTTGGTATGGAAGTTCCTCAGGAAAATGGAAATCAGTCTACTGAAAGATCCAGCAATTCTACTCTTAGGCATATACCCAAAGATGTACACTCATATAATAAGGACATCTACTCAACTATGTTCATAGAAGCATTATTTGTAATAGCCAGAACCTGGAGCCAACCTAGATGCCCCTCAACTGAAGAGTGGATAGAGAAAATGTGGTACATTTACATAGTGGAGTACTACTCAGCAGAAAAAAACAATGGAATAATGAAATTTGCAGGCAAATGGTTGGCACTAGAAGAAACCATCCTGAGTGAGGTAACCCAGTCACAAAAAGACAAACATGGTATGTGCTCTCTCATATATGGATTTTAGACATGTAGCCGATCATTGCCAGCCTACAGTCCCACCACCAGAGAGTCTGGGAAGCAGAGAGGACCCTAAGAGAGATATGCATGGTAACCCAGAGAGGGTCATAGGAGGAGATCTCCTAATTGGATTGCGAGGGGGGACAGAAGGAGATGTGAGAAGTATTGGGGGAAAAGAGGAAGGAAGAGGAAGACAGGAGATCAGAAAGGTTGAGCCAGGGTAAGAATACAGGAAAGGAGGATGAGAGATACCATAACAGAGGAGCCATTATAAGTTGGAGGAGAGATCTGGCACTAGTGAGATCTTCACAGATCTACAAAAATGACATCAACTGGCATTAAGGCTACCTCAAATGCCCTCCTATGATAATGAGATTGATAACTACCTTATGTGCCATCCTAGAACTCTCATCCAGTGGCTGATGGAAGCAGAGGCAGACATCCACAGCTGAAAACTGAATTGAACTCCTCAAACCAGTAGCTAAGAGGAATGATGAGCAAAGGAATCAAGATCAGGCTGGTGAAACCCACAGAGGTAGCTGACCTAAACAAAGGGGAACACATAGACCCCAGACTGATGACTGAATGGCCAGCATGGGACTGATTCAGACACCACCCCCTCAACCTGGGTGTCAGAGAAGAGGTCTCAGCAATCTGTGGTACCTTAGAGAGTAGAACATTATTTATTCCTGGCATACAAATAGACTCTGGGAGCCCATTCCACATAAATGAATGCTCTTTCAGTCTGAACACATTGGGGGGGACCTAGGCTCTGCCCAGCATTATATGATAGACTCTGAAAATCCCTCATGGAAGCCCTTACCCTCTCTTGGGAGTGGAGGAGGGATGGAGGGGAGTGCAGGTTGGGAGGATTGTGAGGTCAGGGGAGGAGGGAAGGGAGAGGAAACAGAGTAACATTTGTAAAAAGTTAAATTAAAAAAAACAAGAATTCCCTCCATCTGAGTGGGCATAGTGGTGGAGGTCTTGATTGCTAATTGATATGGGAGTTCCTGAGACACCGTGGGTTTCATTATCCATAGGCAATGGACTTGGGCTCTGTAAAAAAGATAGCTGAGTATGAGCCAGCAGTGTTCCTCCATTGTTTCTGCTCTGTAGGGGCCCGAATATTATATTTCAACATAGGCCTCAGGTCAATTACAGGACCTCAAGTCTTCTATTGTCTTTTAGATGTTGGCTGGTTATCTTCAGATAGCCTGGCCACAGTGGGGAATGTCTTCTAGTTTGCACAACAATAGATCTAGGCCCCTCATGAGGGCTAGTGGGACTTGCCTTGGAGCCTGAGGGCCTTACCTTAAGACTATTGAGATGTACTGGTGAGTGTTCATGCATTCTAGGACTTCTCTAGGGTTAAAGGAAGTGTTTCCTAGTCAGCCCTATATACATGGTCATAGATGTCTTCTGGCAGTGCCCCTGCTTCTAGAAAGCTATTTAAGAGGATGCTTGAATAAACCAGTTTAAAAAAAAGAGAAAGAAAGAAAGAAAGATATGAGAAATGGAGAAACCTCTGTGTTTATCATAGCTTTAGATTGTGTCTTGCTCTAAGAGATTCCATTTTACAGGCATTCTTTACTCAATTTTGAGAGATAAATATAATTCCCTGAGTGAACCCAGAAACTGTACCATCTATCAGTGAGAACTTATCTAGCACAGGTTGATAAACAGTTTATCCTCGAGAAAAAAAAAGGAGCTACCCTCTAAGTTTATTCAGAGTGGAGAACAGTCTGATCTTAACCTACCCACAAAGCTACAAAAATCTCTCTCCATCTTGGTCTTGAAAGACCCCCCCCCACTCAAATACAAGCTAGGGAGGCAAGATCTGCCTCTTGCTCGATCTAAACCTAAAACAGCAGTTTTAGGCAGCAAAGTCTGCTCCACCCAACAGGCACCCAGATGGCCGTTGAGATAGAACAGGCAGAACATCTTGTGGTTCTTTCCAGAAGGCAGGGTGGCCCCACTTCCCTGAACCCTCCTAGCCTGAAATTTCCCCAGAAAAGTGCCATGTGTGACCCCTTGATAATCTTATGGTTTTTGCCTTTAACAAGAGCTTGTAATAGCTGCTCAAGGCTTCTCTGCCTCCCGTGGCTCAGGAGCCAGTTTGCGCAAACGTGGAATAAAATCCTCTTGCTTGTTGCATTTTCTGGTCTGGAGTCTGAATCTGTGGGGCGTCCACCTAGATACTTTGGAATCCCAACATTTCGGGGGGGTCCAACAGTCTCTTCATCTGTAAACAGGTGTCATTACAATGTTCAGAGTTGCTATGAGAATCAAATTAGTTTGGTATATAAAGCATTTAGAACAGAAAAATGAGTTGTGGAAAGTCGCTGTCAGTCTGAGGATGTAGCTCAGTTAGGGGAGTGTTTGCATAGCAAGTGTGTATGAATACCAACATGACATAAACTATGTATGGCAGTGCAACTCAGCAAACCCAGCTTTAAAAAGCTAGAAAGAGGACTATCAAAAGATCAAGGTTACCTTTAGCTACATAGACACTTCAAGACAAGCCTGGGTTACATGAAACATTATTCCCCTGCCAAAAAAAAATCATTGTCTTTGTTTCTGATTTTGTGTAGTAGTTAATGATTTGTGATATATCTACAAAGAACTCAGTTGTGTTAGGTCTGTGAGGATGGTTGTAGATAGCTGCTCTACACTTAAACTCACCAAAGCATTCTTACCATGCTTTCTTTTGGAATTTTTTGTACCAGCACTCCTAGAATGCTCCTTTGTGTCTGCATCATGCTCTTACTCTTGGGTTTATTCCTGACATGTTTATATATGTGATTGTATAAAACTAGTTATTAAATGTTCCTTTATTGAATGACTAGAGAATTTAAAGGCAATAACTTTGCTTTGTTCATTTTTGCAAACTTCCATTTCTTCCTTCCTTTTATCATGGCCTTCAATGATTCAACATAACTCAAACTAGCCTCTATCCTAACTAAAATGTTTCAGTGGATTTGCATTGGTCTTAGCCACAGCAAAACTGTTTTTTCTGGTACTTAAAAGTCACACCATGTCTAATCCAGGTACAAAAACAGAAGGCTAAAAACCCATGCATAATAATGGTCAGTCAGTCTGGCTGACCAATCATGTACACAGAGAAGAAGCTACAGTTGGCCTTGCTATAGAACCCTGCTGGCAAGTGGATTCACCCCCGGCAGTCCAAGCAATCCAGAGTTTGCTGACATTGCTGTGCTAGTCCCACCTACACCCACCAGGAAAGGGAGTGTATCAGACTCACCTGTACCATCAGAGTATTGGACCTGCTTACAACTACTGGAAGAGAACCTTGGACCCATTACAACCAAGAGAGGAAAAGACCCACCAGAATGTACTGGAAGAAGGGATGGGAAGATGGCATTATAAAAACACTTTCAAAAACAAACAAAAATACCGATGTACCACCACCAGAATTCAAGGAATCCACAACACCAAGAACTGAACATCCCAATATAGAATGAAGCAGAAGAGAATGACCTTAAAAACAACTTCATGAAAATAATACAGGCCCTCAAAGAGGATATGAGAAATAGCGTTAAAGAAATGGAAGAGAAAACTAACTAAAAAATGCAAGAAATCAACAAATCTTTTAAGGAAAGCCCAAGAAAAAAAATCAAACAGATGAAGGAAACAATTCAAACAGTTCATAGACCTAAAAATTGAAATGGGAATATTAAAGAAAACACAAATTGAGGGAATGCTAGAAATAGAAAGGCTGGGTAAATGATCAGGAACTACAGATGAAAGCATAGCCAACAGAATATAAGAGAGGGAACAGAGAACCTCAGGCATTGAAGATACACTAGGAAAAAGAGATTCATTGACCAAAGAAAATCTTAAGTCCAAGAAATCCCTAACACAAAATATCCAGAAAATATGAGGCACCATGAAAGTGGCATAAGAATAGTAGGTATACAAGAAGGTGAAGAAACCCAGCTCAAAGCGTCAAAAAACATATTCAACAAAATTGTCGAAGAATACTTTCCCAACCTAAAGAAGACATGCCAATGAAAGCACAAGAAACTTATAGAACACCAAATAGAGTGTGCAAAAAAAGTTCCCTTGCCACATAATAATCAAATCCCAAACATACAAAATGAGAAAGAACACTAAGAGCAGCCAAGGAAAAAAGCCAAGTAACATATAAAGGCAAACCTATCAGAATTACATATGACTTCTCCACAAAAACTGAAAGCCAGAAGGTCCTGGATAGATATTCTACCAACACTAAGAGCCCATGGATGTCAGCCCACACTACTATATGAAGCAAAGATTCCAATCACTAAAGATGGAGAAAGCCATGGGAGCCTGGTGTGCAATGGTTGCAAACAGCAGCCTCCTTGGTAGTGTATGCAGCCTGTTGCCCAATATGGGCTGCTCTAAGGGACCTTGGAGACAATTTTCTCAGTTACTCAAGTTTCTGATCTCAATGATGTCCCCAATCTAGGCTCCAGACAGGTATGCATGGTGCCTTTGGGAAGCCTCAGGGCACAGTGGCCAGGGTTCACATTGGCCAGGTCATCATGTCCATTCGCACCAAGCTGCAGAATAAGGAACATGTGATTGAAGCTCTTCGTAGAGCCAAGTTCAAGTTCCCTGGACGCCAGAAGATCCACTTCTCCAAGAAATGGGGCTTCACCAAATTTTATGCAGATGAATTTGAAGACATGATTGCTGAGAAATGGCTCATTCCTGATGGCTGTGGGGTCAAATATATCCCTAATCGTGGTCCCCTGGACAAGTGGCGAGCCCTGCACTCCTGAGAGCTTCCACAGTACTCTCCTGTACCCTACCAAATCATGTTCAGTAATAAATCTCACATCCAGTATGCTTAAAAAAAAAGATGGAGAAAGCAACATATTCCACAACAAAACCAGATTTAAAAAATACGCATACACTAATCCATCCCTACAGAAACTACTGAAAGGAAAACTACAACCTGAAGAAGATAACTGCACTCACAAAAACATAGGCAATAGATAATCCCACTTTACCAAAAGTCAGATGAAAAAGGGAGGTAAACCCATACACAATACCAACAACAACAACAAATACAAAACAAGCAAGAACTAACACTCAGTGTTCCTTAATTTCACTCATATTAATGGTCTTAGCTTGCCTATAAAAAGACAAAGGATAACAGAATGGATACGATGACAGAATCCATCCTTCTGCTGCATACAGGAAACATACCTTAACTTCAAAGACAGACATTAGCTCAGAGTAAAGATTTGGGATAAGATTTTCCAATCAAATGGACCCAAGAAACAAGCTGGTGTAGTTATCCTACTATCTAACAAATTAGACTTCAAACTAAAATCAATAAAAAGAGATGAAGGAGGTCATTTCATATTCAATACAGGAGAAATCCATCAAAATGAAGTCTCAATTCTGATCATCTATGCCCCAAAGGCAAAGGCATCCACATTGAAAAAGAAACATTACTAAAATTCAAATCACACATAAACCTCACACAGTTACAGTGGGAGACTTCCACACCCCACTCTTACCACTGGACAGGACCACCAGACAGAAACTTAACAAAGAAACAAAGTAACTAATGGAAGTTGTGATCCATTTGGGTTTAACAAATATCTATAAAACATTCCATTCAAATACAAAAGAATATAACTTCTTTTCAGTGCCACATGGAACCTACTCTCAAATTGACCACATATTCAAAAACCTTGCAACCTCAACAGATAAAAATTTGGAATAACCCTGTGTATTTTATCAGACCACCATATTTAATGTTAGAATTCAACAACAAGACAAACTGCAGAAACCCTGCAAACTCATGGAAATTGAACAAGGCTCAATTGTACCATTCCTGGGTCAAGGATGAAATAAGGAAAGAAATTAAAGACTTCCTAGAATTCAATGAAAATGAAGACACAAAATACCCAAACTTATGGGACACTTACATGAAGAAACTGGAGAATAGTTACACTGAAAGCTCTAGAACAAAAAGAAGCACACTCACCCAAGAGGAGTAGATGACAGGAAATAAACTGAGGGCTGAAATCAATAAAGTAGAAACACAGCAAACAATACAAAGAATCAATGAAGCAAATAGTTGATTCTTCAAGAAATTGAACAAGACAGACAAGCCTTTATCCAAACTAACCAAAATGCAGAGAGAGAACGTGTTACCTCAATGACTAGCTTCTTGAGTTCTTTGTATATTTTGGAAATCAGCCCTCTGTCAGATATAGGATTGTTGAATATATTTTCCCATTCTGTGGGCTACATTTTTGTCTTGTTGACTGTATCCTTGGCCTTGCAGAAATTATCAGTTTCAAGAGATCCCATTTAATAAATGTCAATCTCAATGTCTGTGCTACTGGTGTTATGTTCTGGAAGCAGGCTCCTGTACCAATTTACCCAAGGGTATGTTCCACTTTCTCAACAAACATGGTATGTACTCACTCATATATGGATTTTAGACATGGATCAGAATAGTGCCAGTCTGCACTTCCACTGACAGAGAGTCTGGGAAACAGGAAAGAACCTAAAAGATATACATGGTACCCAAGAGAAGAGAAATGAGGCAAGATCCTCTGAACAGATGGGGAACACGGCAAGGGGTGGGGGGGAAGGGAACCTGGGAAATACAGAGGGGGAGAAGTGGAAGAGAGAGTAGGACCTGGAGGAACAGGAAGGTCAACTGGGGGGGGTAGGATAAGGGGAAGAGGGAATCATAGATTAGAAGACAGATCAGGCACCATTGTGACCTCTAGTGATCTAAACGGATGACACCAATTGGCAAGCTAAGCAATAGTGTAGAGACCACCTCGAATGCCCCATTTCTGATAATGAACTTGATGTCTATAACCATCCTGGAGCCTTCATCCAGTGACTGATGGAAGCAGAGGCAAACACCCACAGTTAAATACTGAACAGAATCCAAGGAAACCAGTGACAGAGAGAGAGGAGCGAAGAGCAAATTGGCAAAGAATGGGCTGGCAAAACCAGCAGAGACAGCTGATCTGAACAGGGGAGAGTTCTTGGACCCCAGACTGACAGCTGGGAGGCCAGCATGGGACCAATCCAGACCCCCTGAATGTGAGAGTCAATGAGGAGGCCTGGGCTACCTATGGGGTTCTGAGAAGTGGATCAGTGTTTATCCCTTGAATACTAACAGATATCATGTGTCCATAACACAAAGAGGGTTGCTCTCTCTGCCTGAACTCTTAGGGAAGTGCCAGGACCCTACCCTGAGTGAAATGATAGACTGTAGATATACCCTATTTGGAAGGAATTGGCAATAGGGTGGGGGAATGGGGGGGATGGTGAGAGGGTGCGGGAGGAGGGGAGGGAGAGGGAACTGGGATTGACATGTAAAACAAGCCATTTAAAATTAAAATAAAAAATTATGAGGTGAAAAAAATAAAAAAATAAAGTCAAGAAAAAAAAGAACAAAAAAAAAAAGAAGCTAGTCACCAAAATACCAAATAATCCAATTAAAAATTATTGTACAGAGCTAAACATAGAATTCTCAATAGAGGAATCTAAAATGGCTGGAAGACAATTACAAAAGTGTTCAAAATCCTTAGCCATCAGGGAAATGCAAATCAAAACAACCCTGAGATACCATCTTATGACTGTCAGAATGGCTAAACTCAAAAACATCAATGACATTTTTTGCTGGAGAGGATATAGAGTACGGGGAACATGCCTCCACTGCTGGTGGGAGTGCAAACTCATACACCCACTTTGCAAATCAGTATGGCAGTTCCTCGGGAAAATAGGAATCAGTCTATCCCAAGATGCAGCAATCCCACTCTTAGGCCTATACCCAAAAGATGCACATTCATACAACAAGTACACCTGTTCCACTATGTTCATAGCAGCATTATTTTTAATAGCCAGAACATGGAAGCAACCCAGATGCCCCTCAACTGAAGAATGGGCAAAGAAATATGGTGCATTAAGAAATAGATTACTACTCAGCAGAAAAAAAGAAATCAATGGAATCTTGAATTTGCAGGCACATGGATGGAAGTAGAAACCATCCTGAGTGAGGTAACACAGTCACAAAGAAACAAACATCGTATGTATTCAATCATATATGGATTTTAAACATAGAGCACAGTATTACCAGCCTGCAATCCACACTGCCAGAGAAGCTAGAAAACAAGACGGACCTTAAGAGAGACATACATGCTCCCCAGGAGTAGGGGAAAAGGACAGGATTTCCTGAGCAATTTGGGAGCATGGAGGGAAGAGGAAGGGATTTAGGGAAAACAGAAAGGGAGACAAGGAGGGAAGAGTAGGACGTGAGGGAGCAGCAAGTTTGGGTCAGGGGAAGAATAGAGGAGAGCAAGAAAAGAGATACCACAACAGAGGGAGCCAATATAGATTTAAGTAGAAATCTGGCACCAGGAAAATGTCCAGACATCTGTAAGTATGATACTAACCAACAATCCATGAGATTCACGACTACCCTATATGCTATCCTAGAGACTTTATCTAGTACCTGATGGAAACAGAAGCAGAGATCCACCGCTAAACACTGAGCTGAACTTCTAGAATCCATTTGCAGAGAGAGAAGACTGATGAGTACAGTGGTCAAGACCAGGCTGGAGAAACCCATGGAAACAGCTGACTTGAATGAGGGGAAGCTCATGTGCCGCAGATTTATAGCTGGGAAACTAGCATAAGACCAACCCATACTCCCTGAACATGGGTGTTAGGAGTCCTGGTGCCTCTGGTTGCAGATCAGTATTTGTTCCTAGTGTATGAATGGACTTTGGGAGCCCACTCCATACAGAGGGTTACTCTCTCAGCCTAGACACAAGGAGGAGGGTCTAGGCCCTACTTCAAATGATATGAAAGACTTTGAAGATCCCCCATGGAAGACTTCACTCTCCCTGGGAAGCAGAAATGGGATGGGATAGTGCTTCAGTGGGGTATGTGGGGGATGGGGAGGAGGGGAAGGAGAGGGAACTGGGATTGACAATGTAAAACAAGCTGGTTTCTAATTTAAATTTAATAAAGGAAAAAAGTTTGAAAGGAGAATTTTGAATTTCAGAAGAAGGGGTAAAATTAACAACTATGACATCTCTGAACAAAGGGAGTCTTCCCTTGCTATGGTGATTATCAGGAGACCAGTCAGTCTAGAGAAGACATGCAACTCTAGAGAAATTAATTCTAAATTGCAATAGAAGGTATATTTTGGGTGATGATCTTGCCTGTTGAGATAAGTTTCTCAACATATTATAAGTATGTTTGAGCAAGAAAATAGGAGGCATATTGATGAAGATTAATCTGGGACCAAGAGAAAGCTCAAAGGAGACAGCTGATGCAAACTGATATTTTGGAAGTTTATTAAAATGGTCTCAAGAGATACTGAAGTGAGATAATTAATTTGCATTTAAAAGACAAAGTTTTAAGTCCTGATCCTGTAAAGTGACAAGAAACTTCAAAGGAGAAACAAGTCCTATGACTTTATTTTTGTGGGATTATCATTTAGCTATTGTTAGAAGACAGTGATTTTTATTTTGTTCATTTGGTATACTGAATTAACTGGCACTTGGTCCTTTTTCATTGAAAACTATTTCCAGCCTTTTCATTAAGTTTTACACACCTATCATCTACTTTCCAACATTTTCCATAAGCAAAAGCTGCCTCTGTGTGCCTTCATAATCTGCATTTTTTAGATGGCTCTGCTGATACTTGCAGTGAATAGCCATACTCCCTAGATGACAAACCCGCCTTTCACAGTTTGGAACACACAATTATTAAGATGCTGAGTTAAGATGATTTCTGGTGTGTAGAATATTTATTAAGATATCCCAGGTCTCAGAAAAAATTCAGCATGAAACAAATAACCTTCGTGT